GCTGAGCAGGGAGCCCGATGCGGGACTCGATCCCAGGACTCCAGGATCACGACCTGAGCCAAAGACAGTCATTTAACCAACTGAGCCACCCAGGCGCCCCAACAGTTGGTATTTTCTTAAGGGTTTACTGTAATGTGGCATCTGACTTCCTAATTACTAAACTTTTTGTGCTTTGTTACATTAAAATCTATTGGTCAGTCTCACACTTTGAATGGATCTTTTTTTTTTTTAAGATTTTATTTATTTGAGAGAGAGCATGAGAGAAAGGAGGGTCAGAGGGAGAAGCAGACTCCTTGCTGAGCAGGGAGCCCGATGTGGGACTCGATCCTGGGACTCCAGGATCATGACCTGAGCCGAAGGCTGTCGCTTAACCAACTGAGCCACCCAGGCGCCCTGAATGGATCTTTTATCTGTATGATTTTGTAACATCATGCACTGGTTATTTCAAAAATATTGGTTTCTTTGTATTATGCTGATCCTCCAAATGTTCATAGAATTCATTATACAATATCAAAAAATCATATTTATTAATTGCACCACCGAGAGGAAAGTCTTTAAGTACTGGGAAGCTGTCAAGATCATAGTGGCAGGTTACAAGTTTTCAAAAATTCTAATTTGTGCTTGAAAGCTCAATTTTACCCAAGAAATGCTATCAGCTGTTTTCCTTTAAGTGTGCACTTTGTTCAGTTTTGAGGAAATGTCTGCCAAATAACCAAGACTGAATCACTCACTATGTGTAGCAAACAGACTCTCAAGTGGCCTCAATGATTCCCACCCCCTGGTGTTCATGTCCTGCATGATTCCCTCCCTTTAGTGTAGGCAAGACATGTGACTTGCTTCTAACCAACAGAATACAGCAAAGGTAACAGGATATACATGATTTTGTGTACGGGACTACATTGCATAAGATCATAATGCCATTCTGCCAAGGATTTTCTCTATTGTGGGCTTTGAGCAAATAAGCCATGTGGGAAAGACCCACTTGGCAAAGCCAGAGATTCTCAGTCTGACAACTGTTAAGAAACTGAATGTTGCCAATTACCATGAGAACTTGGAAGCAGATACTTCTCCAGTCAAGCTTCAGATGAGACTGCAACCTCAGAGTCCACACCTTGAATGTAGCCTTTTGAGACCCTGAAGCAGAGGATCCAGCTAAGCCATGACCTGACTCCTGACCCATAGAAACTATGAGATAATATGTGTGGTTTTAAACCATTGTTTGTGGTAATACTGATACACAAAAATAATACACCATGGTTTATCAGTCATTCTTCCAAGTAAAAGTAGTCTTCTATTTTTAAAAAGTGGGTGGGTTAGGTCACATTTCAATCACACAAGTGCTTTTCTTCAAGATAACCATTAAACTTCAAACACAGAAGTGCTTTTGCATACTATCCACTTCATCACACAAAATATTTTTAAAAGACACATATTCAAAGGTAGAGATCTAACAAAATAACATGTAAATACTTCATCAAGGAAATAAGTATGAATATATTTTACTGGGAGTGCATGGTGGGGATGAATACAAAAACTACTCATACTTGGTACCACTGTCTTGATTTATACTAAGGCACCAGCAGTTTACCCAATATTACTTTTGAATCACCAATGAATATGTCAACATGGCGGAAAAGGCAAATAGTGTCTTTGTATTATTATGACAATAGTATTGACTCCCAAACCCATGAAAGAGTCTCAGGGGAACCCCAGGGGACTGAAGACTACACACTGAAAACTGCTGCACTAAGGCAATGGTTCCATTTTAAGTATATATTTATATATAACATATACATATATATGTATGTAAATACATATAAACTAGGGGTTAGTCTGGATTGAAATCCCAGATCTATCATTTTGCCAGCTGTGTGACCTTGAATGAATAATTTAACCTCTGTGAGCCTGAATTTCCTCAACTATAAAACAGGAATAATAGTAATAGTGCATACTTCACAGGGACAGTTAAGAATTAAATGATTAATTTATGTATAGCATTTAGAACAAAGCCTTACACATAAGTATCAACTTAATAAATATTAACTATTACCATTAACTATTACTATTTGTTAAGAGTTTTTTAAACTAAATTATGAAGATACATTTTCAGAATAAAAATCTACAATGTCCTCTCAAAAGTTTTTCCAATTAAAAACCAAGAACAACTGACCCAATTTACAATCTTAAATAATTTTCCATTATGCAATATTCATTATGCTTTTATTCATGTTTTGTAACACAATTTTCAATACTTTACCTATTTAATTTAAGCATGTCACCTGATTTAGGAACCAGCTCCATGGGTAGTTCCTGTAGTTATTACTCTGGGTACTGGCTAAGCTATCATAAAGATGGTGACATTTTCTGATGCTAATTATGCTTCTATTGAATGACTACCCAGAATTGTAATTGGTATTGTTTATACTGATAAGTAATATCCAATGTATCCCTGAGCTGTGTAGTTTCAGAAACACTTACAGGTTTAGACAAAGGCTGAACAATAATAGAACTATCTGAAGATCTAGATTCAGGATGAAAATTTACTGGCGAGGCAGCCACTGGATTTGATGTTGGGTTCGTGTAGTGTTGACTTGTAGGCTTGAATGCAGCAGTAATACCTGTATTTAAAATTACATAATACATTAAATATATTTTTATATAACCAATGATGTCAAAATACTTCACTTTAAAAGTAAAATAGTAAAGCAATACCATACCTCGACTGAGTGCACCATTCTTTATTCCCCTTGAATATGAGCTGGGGTTTACTCTATTCAAAATATCTACAAAAAATTATATTTATTTTAAAATTCATTATTTGAATAAAATATATGTTAAGAAAATAGAAATCATGAATTGAAAACCATCAAATAGACTCCTGGAAGGAATATATAAGTTGTCACTCACTTAAAATACAGTTAATTTTAAACATATATATCTTTATCTACTAAAGAAAGATTACTAGCCTTGTTTTAATAGAATAAGAACAACCTAACTGTAACTCAAAATCCAAAAGCCAGAAGTAGAAGATTGATAAATCTGACTACATGTAAGTCAAATTTTCTACAAAGCTTCTTTTATGGCAAAGAAATAATTCACATAATTAGTAAAAATCTCCCAAAAATATATGTATATATAACCTATAATTAATGTATATATCTTTCTTTGAGTGATGACAGGGCTATATCCACTCAGGTTCCTATCACTCAAAACCAAACCCCTATCCAACCTCCATATTCCATTCACACTTTCCTTGGAAGTATCGTTATGAGGGATCTTACTGGATTATCCGCAGCATTAATTTTGAGTCCTGAAAGGGAAAAACTAGCAGAAATTGCAGACTAAAATAACAGTTTATCAGAGTACCTTATAACTTAAGGGGTTTCAAATCTACCAGTATACCAGAAGTCAATCTGAGCCTGATAGAACTTTCAGGATCACTTTAAAGTCCCTGATTCTGGCATGCACGTGAACTTCTGCAACTTCTAGATTATTTGCTAGTCAAACTAAAATTGGGAAGAGTGGGGATTTGCCAAAAATCGCTGGTTACAAAAAGGTAAAAGCACAAACAAGTACAAACCTCATAAAAATTTCCTTTTTCCCTCATAGTAAAAAAGAACCAGATCCCATAAAATAACTCTATGAAGTACAGGGCCACACAATAGTAGGGTTGTTTTCTGACAATGGCAATGCAGTGCTCTATACCTAAGCATTACCTATGTCTCATAGAACAAAAACCTGCTCAAACAACTTGACACCATTTTCACTCAGAAATTCAAGATTATTACTCAAACCATCAAAGTACTATTGGCCAAAGTACTTTTTAGTGGCTGTATTCTACAAAACACAAGTTTTTACCCTCCTTGCTAGCAGTTCTATACAAACACTTAACCCATATTCCATATATTAAAATATTTTATGGCTTACACAAAAACAACAATAAATTCATTTAAATTCTGCATAACAGTCCAGAAAATAATTTTTACTGGGGTCAGTCTCCGTTTTGACAGAATTATTTTAAAACTAATATGCACTGTTCTAGTTGAATACTGTTAACATCTTCTACTTGGTATAATTCAATTTGATCTTAACTTATTTTTTTCAATAAGATAATATGAATAACTATTTTATAATATGGTAATATTCCATTATAAAATGATCACAACGACTAGAAACAGTAATTAAGAGAATATATAATCATGTTCCACTATCATCAAAAAGCATGCCATCATGCCTAGTTCAATTTATAATCAAAGTGGCACTCCATTTAGAACCTAAGAGATTACCAATCTGCCACAGGAAATGGTATTGAGAATTTAATTTAAGTGATCCTCCCTCTGATAAAACTGAATAAAAATGCTATTCCAAGTTCAGAGGAAATAGAAGAAAGAACCAAGCTTTCAGAAGATTTAAAAGTAGTGTCTTAATCATACTTTTAAGCACTGCCTTGATAAGAAAACTCTATTATGCTGGTCATATTCTTTGGTAAATTCACCTGGCTTAAACAAGCAAACAAATAAACATGTACCTGCAATTGGAAATTATCTATTTTCTCTTTCTGCCCTAACATTTGTATGTTATTTCTCTGTACTTTTTTACATTTTTGAGTGGACATTTTAATAAGTGTCATTGGTCTTTGCTTTGTAGCATTCTAACAACATCAAATCCAACTACTCTAACTAAAATCTAATAATCCACAAAGGTACCAAAATATTCTGCTAGAAAGCCATAAAAAAGATTTAAGTATTAACTAATTGCTACATCATCCAAGTACATGGCTGTAGACAGTGTTCTTCTATTTGATAAATATAAATGAGAGCTGGTAGAAGATGAATGTGGTCAGAAGCTGCAGCCCCTGTTGGCACACAGGTTAGAGACTGCAATTATTCTCTGCCTATATATTTTGTAGCAATGTATGATGACATTGTAGTTGCCTGAATGTGAGAACCCCTGTCTGAGACTGAAACTTATTTAGTATACTATGACATTTGAAGAAAAGTATTCAAACCTCTTCCAGTTCTCTAATTCTGGGTTTAAGTGGAGGGAAAAAAAAGATAAACAGATAAACAGGTTACTTGGCTCCACTAAAAATTAGGATTTCCAATTTCAAAAGACCTCCCATGTTACCAGCTAATCTTAGACTATTCTTTTCCTCACATCTGATATTTTAACCTTTTACTTCCCTCCTCAAGTCCTCAATCATGTCCTCACCCTGATTCTATAATTCTCACTCACCTCTCACCAAATCTTTCATCTCTAACTCCTTACAGAGGAACAAGGACATGAGTACCTTATAAGGCAGTTCACAAGTTTTTCCATTAGAAACAGTATTTCATAAAAATTGGCTCCACTAAAAGTAAATGCTTACTTGAAATTGCTGGTTTTGAACTTGTTATCTCTCCAACAAAGATTGGCTCATCATCATCATCATCCTCAACCTCTTTTACTTTCTTCTGCCATGGTTCTAACTCTTCTTCTTCACATTCCATAAAGAGTTCTGCCATTTTTGAATTATCTAATTTTCAAAAGGAGAGAAGCAAACCTTATTTTCAAAAAAAAAAAGTAAATACATTTTTTAAAAATTCACAGTATATTTAAGATCTATTTTAATAGCCCTAACAGCAATTTGTGACTTGATATTTGTAGTTAGTTCATGGCAGCAACAGTGAGAAACTCAGAGCTCATTCTCTAAGACATAAACTAATGAATTTAGATAAATAGATAATGGTTGACAGTAGTCATTTACATGAAACAGTCAAAATGAATTCCAGTCATATGCCTGGAGTATAATTTTATCTACAAAAAGGATTGCACCTAACCATTATCTTGGGGGAAAAAGTATTAACAAAGGGGAGATAAACTAAGAAGAAGAGGTAACTCACAGGAGATATACTAGAAATACTGAACCAAATTCAGGAATTCCAGGCACAAAGCAGGGATAAGGCGCTGGACTAAAATAAGGGAACAAAGTGAGACTTACTCTATTCAGGGCAAATTAGACATTTCTTACCTAAAGAAACAGATCAAAGAACGTGGAATAAATATGAACATACACCACCCTAGAAGTTCTGACCAAGCACAGAGCTCCTAGGTAGAATTTTAGTACCTCACTCTTAAATATTAATGGACAATCAAAAAGTACCAGAAATTTCAGGAAAATCTCCAGTCTTTTAGACCAAATCAATAAAAAGATAAAGAATCCTAAGGAAAAGAGATAATGCAGAGAGCGAGAAAAATATTAAAGAAAATATAATTAGCATCTTTAGAGATATTAGATAAGAATTTTATAAAAATATTCAGGAAAAAAATCAGATTAAAAATATGATAGCCAAAATTTTTTAATTCAGTTTTTTTAAAAAATCATAATGTCCCCAGAGGTGGAGCTAAGAGAAAAAGAGAAAAATACACACACACACACACACACACTAAATAAAGAAGAAAACACAAGGTTTTCAGAGAAAATCAATTTCAAAGTACAACATTCACCTAATAAAATTTACAGAAAGAGAACAGAGAAAAAGCAGGGAGTAGGTTATCTGAGAAATAATACAGAAAAATTTCCTAGATTGGAAAACGTAAATCTCCGGGTTGTAAGGCCTCACTAGGTACACAGCACAATGATCAAGAAAAAAGTTATATCAAGACACATCATCATGAAATTTCAGAACAAAAGAGATAAAGAGAATATCTAAGATCTATGGGGCGGGTGGGGATTGGGGTGGGGTGGAAAGAACCGTTCATACTCAAAAGGTCAATAAAAATAAGAACTATATTATAATACTTTAGTAGAAGACAGTAAGTAATAATTCAGTAACTTCTAACCAATATTATTTTTCAATCTAGAATTCTTTACCCAAACTTTTCATCAAGTGTGAAAATAAAGAAGAGCAACATCACACAAGATTTACTTCCCACGTAACCCTTCTCAGGAAGTTACTACAGAATCCATAAAAATATGAGACTTAACCAAGATAGAAGACACAGCATGTAGAAAACACGGTATTCAATACAAAGTCCCAGGACAATGGTTTTCAGCAGACCCAGAAAACAACCAGTCCAGACTAGACTGGAACAGTACTTCAGGAGGAAATGTCTCTGGGACACCAAAGAAAAGATGATTAAAATGTAAATTTTTAGACCACCTGACAAGTTCTACTATGTAGAAAGCTGAATTGAGAGGCTACTGAAGAGTATGGGAAGACGTGCCTATAGATTTTTATACAACTTAGCAAATGAAAATACATGAAAAGCATTAATAGCTAGATACATGAGAAAGAAAAAGAAAGAAAGAAAGAAAGGAAGGAAGGAGGGAGGGAAGGAAGAGTAAATGTATGTATTCTATGTATAATAGCATATTAAAAGCATATTACCATGCTCATCAGTGAACAGCATTTATTATAGTCATCATAATGAAACATCAACTATGAATTAAACCAAATATTGAGATAATAATTATACTAGGAGATACTTGGAGGAAAGGAAGGGCTAGCTCTAAGAAAGCAAAAATTCTCATGACAGATTATTAGAAAGTGGTTAAAACTGATTATGCAACAGACAGCACAACATATATGCACATATGAACATAAGCACTCTTCAAGAAACTGGTTAAGCTATTTAAAGTCTTTTCAGATGGTCTGACTCTTTAAACTATGTGCATATATTCCTTTAAGTGGAAATGGAGAAAAAAGAGAAGGTGAAGGGAGAAGGGGAAGAGAAACAGTACTGAGGACCTAAAGTAATAAGAGTGGAAATGGATATAAGTGGATATAACTAAATATATGGAATGAGATGGGGGGTGGTCTACCAAAAAAAACCCCAACAAACAAATAACAACAACAAAAAAACGCTCCAGCGTTCTGGCTTTGACAATATCTTTCATTTATCATTTAAATACAGTCATTTCTAAGGGTAATTTTTTATTATATTAGAGTAATGCCACTTCTACTTTTGACTCAAAATTAGGACAATGTTCTACCACCTCTTAAAAGATACTAACTAAAACAATGCTTTGGGGATGGCATACCATGGATGGTATGGGAATGGAAATACCATATCAAATTAAGAACCATTTTTCTATAAATTTTTAAATTTTTTCCTTTCTATAAAAGTGTGTCGCAAATTATTTCCTGTCTTAACATTATTTAAATGTTAATAGTCCACCTACCAAAACAAAAAAGGCCTTCCCATTTTCCCAAATGTCATGAACATCATGAACTGATCCCTTTCTTTTCTATACTATACTGTTTCATTAATTATATAGAATTCTTCAAGTCAAATGATTAAAAATATTATATGTCCCAAGACCAAACTGAGCTCTTTGAGTTTATTTCCTCCTACACGCTAGATAGGCAGTAGGGTACACAGTACATAATAATTTATGGACTAGGAAACTAAGCAGTCAGGCAATGCCTAATTTTTAAAAATTAGGGAAACTCATTGTATATGGATAATAAAAGTTTCCAATCAGTTTGTGTTATGGGCTGAACTGTGTTTTTCCAATATTCATATGTTAAAGTCCTCACCATCAGTACCTCACAATATTACTGTATTTGGAGACAGGGTCTTTAAAGAGGTGATGGGGCGCCTGGGTGGCTCAGTTGGTTGAGCGACTGCCTTCGGCTCAGGTCATGATCCTGGAGCCCGGGATCGAGTCCCGCATCGGGCTCCCTGCTCGGCAGGGAGTCTGCTTCTCCCTCGGACCCTCCCCCCTCTCATGCTCTCTGTCTCTCATTGTCTCTCTCGCAAATAAATAAAATCTTAAAAAAAATAAATAAATAAAGAGGTGATGAAGTTAAAATGAAGTTACTAGGGTGGGCGCTAATTCAAAATGACTGGTGTCCTTAAAAGAGGAGATCAGGACGTGGATACATGCTTGGAGGTAAGACCATCTAAAGACATAGGAAGCATATGGGCATGTATAAGCCAAGGAGAGAGGCCTGGTACAGATCCTTCCTTCATGGCCCTCAAAAGGAATCAAGTCTTTGAGTTGATTCTTATGAGACCAACACTTTGATCTCATACTTCTAGCCCCCAGAACCATGAGAAATTCTGAAGTAAATTTCTGTTGTTTAAGCTATCCAGTCTATGGTTCTTGGTTATAGAAACCCTAGCAAACAATACAGAAGACAAAGGTCTTCCTCATTCTTCTTAAGAGGGCACTGCCATTGTCAATACACCCAGGATAGATTGTTAAGAAAAAAAAATTTAAAGACACATAACAGCTTTATGTATTTTTTTTTCAGCTTTATGTATTTTAGAAATAATTATTTTTTGTCTATGCATAAAAGAAACATAGGTAATTATGTACACCAAACTAAGTTATCACTGGGCATAAGAAGAAAAAAAACTTCATTTCTACTTTACTCACTTCTTAATTTATATTATTTGTTATGTGAGCATTTGTTACTCTAACAACTTTAAGTTTTTCTGTCTATAAGAAAATGTGCCTACCTCTCCTCCTTTATACTGAAGCAAATTTATCAGTTCAAAAGCCACATATACCAGTAGCAATTGTGGCAGCAAAACTTACTTTTTGGCTGAAAAGGGTTGTCGCCCATCAAGTTGCAGAGTTGACTTTCTGTAAATTGTCACCTAAGTACTGACACATGATATCAGTCAATTTTATGAGTCACTTTAAGTAATGCCAAATATTGAAACATGAAACTCGGGGTTCAGAAATTCTTGGATCTAATTTTGATCTTGAAACTCACCATGTGACTCCAGACAAAAGAGCAATTTATATCTCAGTTTTCCTTCCTATAAAATAAAGATACCTAGTATTAGAGTGGATCTCATTAAATTAAATGTACACATACTTAATCTTTTTTCCTATGAAAAGTTCAATTTTTAAGTTTGATATGTCTGACATACACTTGCAACTCACTTTATATAACTGGTTCATTCTTGAACGAACCTAAATTTAGTAAATAAAATGGTGATTCTATTAAGCACTTACTACTTGAAGAAGTCTGAATTATTAATCTACAAATAATTTCTTAAAGTTATCCTTCTATAAAAATGAGTAATCACTTCACGATGTATTGTTTTAGTAAGTCTGAATTTTCAAATACAAAGGGATATACTAATCTTTAACTGTAACCTATTCATATTTCAGATATAAATGTAATTATTTCCACAAGAAAACATAACTTTATTTTTTAATATTTAATTCATTCATTCATTCATTTTTAAATCAGAGAAAGAGAGTGAGCACAAGCAGGAGTGGCAGGCAGAGGGAGAAGAAGGCTCCCCGCTGAGCAAGGAGCCCGATGTGGGACTCGATCCCAGAACCCCGGGATCATGACCTGAGCCGCAGGGAGCCGCTTAACTGGCTAAGCCACCCAGGCATCCCAAGAAAACATAACTTTAAACAAATTTTAGTTTAGGGGCGCCTGGGTGGCTCAGTCATTAAGCGTCTGCCTTCGGCTCACATCATGATCCCGGGGTCCCGGGATCGAGCCCCGCATTGGGCTCCATGCTCAGTGGGGAACCTGCTTCTCCCTCTCCCACTCCCCCTGCTTGTGTTCCCTCTCTCGCTGTCTCTGTCAAACAAATAAATAAAATCTTAAAAATAAATAAAGAAAAATAAATTTTAGTTTATATATTTCTGATTTTTTATCAAAGACCTTAAAAAGGAAAGAAAAATAATTGGACATATTTCATCACAGATTAATTCATTCATAAATAACTACTCTTTCGGTGCCTGGCTGGCTCAGTCAGAAAAGCATATGACTCTTGTTCTCAGGTCGTGGGTTTGAGGCCCAGGTTGGGTGCAGAGATTACTAAAAAATATAAAAATAATAACTACTCATTGCCTTCTGAATGCAAGATGATGTGCTAAGTTCTAGGGAAAAAAAAAAAATGAGTAAGTCACAGTCCTTGCCTTCAGAAATTTATAATCTAGTATATCTATATTTCTTTGGGATTGAAAAATGATTGCTATTAGAATAAAAATTATCAAAAAGAAATTTTCATTTATTTAAAACAAGAATTATTCTGGATTCCCACACACACAACAGCATAAATTTTATAAAATTTACAAATTTTAAAATAACTTTTAGTTATAAAGCAAAAAAAGATAAAAACTAGACAGCAGACACCTAAAATACTAAAATGCACACTAATTCAATCTTTGTATTTCTCCTTATCCTCAGGCTGACACAAGCAAATTTTCTTGCTTTTTAGGTTCCAATTTATTTGGACTGCATTAATCCACAGGGAAAAATAACTATTATTTTAACTTCAGAAGTTACTGTTATAAATGTTTTAACTACTATCACAAGAGACTCTAATGAATGTTTTTTTTAAAGATTCATTTATTTGAGAGAGAGAACACAAGCGGAGGGAGGTGCAGAAAAGGAGAGAGAATCCTCAAGCAGACACCCTGCTGAGTGCAGAGCCCCACATGGGACTCAATCCCATGACCCCAGATCATGACCTGAGCCAAAATCAAAAGTTGGATGCTTAACCTACTGAGCCACCCATGCACCAAGACTCTACTGAATCTTGTGTTTAACTGAATTCACCAAGTTCTGAAGTCTATTTAAATCTCATTAACTCGGGGTGCCTGGGTGGCTCAGTCGTCAAGCATCTGCCTTCGGTTCAGGTCATGATCCCAGGGTCCTGGGATTGAGCCCCGCATCGGGCTCCCTGCTCGGCGGGAGGCCTGCTTCTCCCTCTTCCACCCCCTCTGCTTGTGTTCCCTCTCTCACTGTGTCTCT